AAGCATTATATTTGGGAGATGTTTATACAAAAAAGAGTAGACGACCTGCAACTGGTTGCTAACTAAAGCAGTGTCATTAGTTATTAGTTCCCAGAGGGCAAAATAAGGGTGTATAGGTTACGCCATTTGCCGTACGTACATCATTTCCCCGGGATGTCAGCAGGGTGCAGAACCCACGTGAACCTGCACCAGGCCAGCGACAAACTACGGACTAGCAGCGAAGGTCTGCTCCGCTCTGTGCGTTCATAGCTGACATCTGTGGTGAACCGATTTTATCTGTCTCCACCGAAAGCTGCGATTCCAAGCATTTCAAATAATTTCAAATAATTCCGAGCATTTCACTCAGTCCAATTGATAGGGAAGAGTAGGTTAAAATCCTTCAAACTGGTACCTTCAATGAGGTAAAAGCATTGTGTACAAGAGAGAAGCTGAACTTCCCAGTTACCTTCCATGTGGTTGTGTTTCAGTGTTCCCGAATCCATGACCTGCTGGGAAGGGGATGGGGAGGAGATCTTGTTTGTAAATCCTCCCCTTATGGGGTCGGGGTCCCCAAAAACCACCCAGCGGGCAGCCGTACTCACACCTGGTAGTACAGACTTAGGGACTAAGGGAGTTGGGAACCTACAGGATGAGGGAGCAGCTACATCGTGGTTATGGAGACACGACAGCACCTAAAACGTGAGCTCGGCGGTCAAAGAAGGATTCTGGTATCCTCTGCTAAAAGAACAACCAGGGATCTCTCACGCAGTGAATGAATCAAGAACCAGAAGGTTGGAAAAATGAATCTATTATTTTGTGACTTGCAGCATGTAAGGAGCTGAAAGCAATTGGACTTCCCCCTTGTCTTCTGTCACAGCCAAATATAAAATGATTGGAGTTTGGTGATGTGCGGTCTGGGGAAAAGCAATGTGTCTCACGCAAGACGGCAGGCGGTAGGGAGCACACGGCTCAAGCGCTGAATGAATGGCAGGAAAACATGCCCTCCCTCAACTTCATAAAAAGGATTGTGAACAGATAGCAGTAAATCAAAGATACCCAGCCCCTCAACTCCACCCCAGCACAAATACTTCCTTGGAAACCCAGCTAGTAACCCCAGCACATTCAGACTTAAGGCTAAAAAAGGCAGAAAAGTTGCCTAGAAATTTGTGAAATCTGATTTGAACAACCTCAGGCTGACACAGGTTTCTCAGTTTTTCGTGGCCAAGCTTTGCTTTGGAGCTAGTCATAAATCATAACATTAGGCAAAGGTATGGGGTCTACAGGGTCTCACCCCAGTGAGTTTAAAAAAAAAAAAACCCAACAGTTGGCAAAGTCCACAGGTTGTGATCCCAAATACCAGCAAGTGGGAAATACTGGAAGAGACACCAATACAGAGAGGGAGAAAGAACAAGAAATTGCCTGTGTATACGTGTAAGAACGCTTTCTGGTTTAGGTGCGAGTTTTCTCAAATCACCACAGCAAAATGCTGCATGCGGTCACATTGGTGAAGTTCTGCTGGAGACTTATTTTGTAACAGCAAAAGCACAAGCACGTGATAATTGTTTGGAGCCCTCCGAAGCTGGCACGTCGAACCAAAGAGCAGTATGGACTGCTCCGTGTGTCCGATCTGCTGGTTCCTTATTCCCCAACTACTTTTCTTTGCTCCTATCCAGCTCAGCCCCTGCATCAACGCTTCAAAAAAACTTTTTGACAAACATGCTACTTGTTGTTTTCCATCCAAAGACATGGCAAAGCCACCTGAAAATGGGCCAAATAAGGGGAAGTATGCCGAGATCTGCCCCAAGGCTGTTGCTACCACCAGGAAAAAAGAGCTGTAAGACAGCGAGAGTGGGGTGAGCGGGAGACACTGGCAGCTGGAAGGAGCCAGAGAAAAGGAAGTGGGATAGACAGAAAAAGAAACACTCACTGGCTGGAAAGAGCTTGGGAAGGCGGGGGGGAGGAGTACCCAGGTGCCAAAATATGCAGTTGTAACCCCATGTATGAAAATCTACTTTTTTAGCAAGCACACAGTAAGACTATATGGATGTTTATATACATGCAAATATACTGGATTCCAAATAAACTACTTCCAAGTAAGATTTTTTTTTAACTTCAAATTTCAGCAAATAATCATCCTCTATGCACAGACCAAAATTATCTTTTGAAGATTATAAACTAAGTCATGTACCTTTGTTAGACAAGAAAGCACTACCTTCTTCTCAAGGTAACTCTATTTATTGATTAGTCTACTCTTTCCATTAATTGTGTCCCGATGAAAGCAATCAAATAAATGAAGCAGAAAAGAATGGATGCTTCTGGGGGAAGACTTGGTTTTAGGGAAATCAGTGCTAGAGCAGGTGGTTTTGCTTTATCATCTTGGCATACATGCCCAGGCTGCCTCAAATGACACTAGTGAAGCTTTTCAATCTGTGGCTGCTCCGATATAAAGAGCAAAATCAAACTACTGACAGCTCTACATGGAGCTGCCTGCTTCCTTTTAAACACATGTAAGGGTAAGAAGGGACAAGGGCCAGGGCAAGACAGGCAGAATAGGACCTCCTGTTTGCTTTCTATTTTGTAGAGAGAATAGCCAGAGCTTGGCTTCTAATTAGAACCCCAATGGTAGCCTATATAGCCCCATGAGGACTATTTTATCACATCCCTCCCACCTAGTTCATCACATAGCTGGACAATTTGCACACAGAGGATGCTCAGGCAATAAAAAAAAAAAACAACAAAAAAACCCAACCACCACAACCCCAAAATCATTTAGGCCTCAAAGTCATCACACAAGGGAAATTTAAAGCCCCATGTTGCATTGTGAAATTCAGCTGCCTACTCCTAACGAGCACAGATGTACTACTAAGCTGAGCTTCAGAAGCCTTCTTCTAACCTCTGCTGGCTTAGGATGCAACAACAAGTGTCTTCCCAGGGGCTCAACACACACTACAGGTGCTGTGACCTTATCTAGCACACAGCCACTGTCATTCAGATGACATTTAGTGCTGGTGGTTCCCCTCCTTCATCTAATACCGTACGTAGGCAGAGCACTGGCTAAGCGCTAAGTCTAACTTGACTTCCACATCATCCAAACCCCCATCTCTACCTCCCCAGAGGGTGACTTAACCCCCAGAACAGACACAGAGTAGACATTTTTCTCCCAGCCTACCACTGGATATCTCTACGGTGGAAAAAATATGATTGAGTGTGACCTGTAGCTCTTGAAATTTTGAAAGAAAAGCCCCGGATTCTTCAGCCATTTCTGCTTTTGAACTGACAACTGTTTGGCGTAAAACATAAATGGGAAGTCCTTATTTCCAGCTAAATTTCCAACCCCTGACGATGTAACCCTACTTGAAAAGTGGTGGATGCATGTTTGGAGCCAAATCAAAAGCCCATAAAATTCACTGTCATTGTCTTGAAATAGTCAATTTGTGCCTCAGTTTTCTTGAGTGAGTTATACCATAGCCAGCCTGGATGTTCTGAAATCTGAACAAAGTGATCAAAGCTGCACAAGAAATAGAGGGACACAGGAAAATAAAGAAATCACAAAGTTGATTTTTTTTCTTAGAAATATATTTTGTAAGAAAACAATATTAACATTAAAAAGAAGTGTTTATTATACATTATAAAATAATTGCTTGAATTCAACTCAATTCCTTACAAACAAACAAAAAAAAGCCTGAGGATTTGTATGAAGCCTCAATTCCTAAAGATTTAGGTCTTTTGCCTTCCATGATTCCTACAGCATTAAGGAGCAGGTTTTCCCCACTCCGTCCGTAGAGCACACAGAGAAACACTCCTAAACCCTCCCTCATCCCTTCCCCGACAAGTTGCTGTTCCCTGCCCAGATGTGCTCTAAACATCACCCGTAGTATTTGCAGCTCTCTCCTATGTCCCCCATAGCCACCCTCAGATTCCATCCACCTACCTCTCTTGGCCAAGCAACTATACAAGCGACAACACATGTTGCAGCTAGCTAGAAGTCTCCCCATATTAATTTGTTGGCTAGTATGAACAGTGGCCAGCCACTGACAAATAACGTGTAATGGCTGAGTTGTTCTCAGCTGTCTGTTCTCATAAAACCTGTAAGAATATCTCTTAACACTGCCATTCATCTGCCAAATCTGGCAGAAGTGTGCAGAGTTTTTAAAAGCTAGAAGGGGAGACAAAGACAGGCAATGCAATGACATAAGCTTCACTTTTTCAGGAAACTAAGCTAAAAAAGTCATTACTCAATTGCAGAATTTACAACTTGCAGATTTTGTTGTAGGAAAATATGCCTGTTCGGTAACTATAAATACCCCTAATACATTTCTGTGGCTTATTATGTATTAATTTTTATTTTTTTTAAGGCAATGCCAGCTTTGTAATGTCTATTACTCTCCAGGTTTGAAAGGCACCCAGTGACCAGCATTCTGGTGTAATTATTCATGATATGGGTGTGATTCCCCCCCTCCCAATAATACTGACAAGTTTAACAGCAATCTATTAAGTTAAAAAGAACAAAGATATATATTACATTTGCTAATTGCAAACAACCTCTTTTAGCTGCAATTTTTCCCATTGGGATTAAAAGTGCACCAGTTTAACATGTCTGTACATTAAAAACAATTCAAAACATTAAATATACAAACGGCAAGAGATTTTAAATATTTTGTATCAAATACTATAGGACAATATAATTTACATATTTTTTTTTTTTACACAAAACATTACACCTGAAATATAACTTTAGATATTACAGAATATAAAAATACATACTTTTTGTCTAAAAAATGTCTTTGCAGGTTCTGGCACAATGAAATACTTTAAAGGCACACTGTATTTTGGCAATCTATATTTGCAATTAGCTGTGCAACAATAATAAAAATGACCTATAATTAACCTTTTAGAACTGCACAGCCAGATGATCTCCCTTCTTCCTGGAACAGCCCTTTTAATCAGGTAAAAACTTAAGCTGAACTGTTTAGGTGCTCTGCAACTCATTTCTGCCATGGCCTGAGCTCTCCAACCCTAATCCAGCAAAGCAAGAACAGACTTAACTAAGCATGTGAAAAGCCACATCAAATGCAATGAGATTAGTCATACTTTCATAACCTTTGCTGTCTCAGGGTCAGAACGCTCAACCCCAAGCAAAACTGAGCCCTAAATGCAAGTTGGGAGCCAAGTTCTGCCCTGCCTTATGTTTGCGCCAAAACTAGTACGAGTAGCACAGGTTAGAAAGTCAGGGCAGAACTTGGAAACAGAAGTTCAATAATATTAATTGCTCTGATTTCAACTACACCAATGTAAAAGTCATAATGACTCTACTGAAGCCAGTGGAGACATATGAAGTAAAACTGCTGTAAGACTGAATCAGGAGAACTATGTAATTTTGCCCTTCTATGCATTTGTGGGACTCCTGCTGGAGTCAGCACAGGGCAAAAAACCGTGTCTTTAGAGATATATGGCTTATACAGATGCAATTGGGTTGCAAAAGATATTCAGTTCTGTCTTCAAGTTGTTTCTGGATCACTGAAAACTCAAACAGTTTTCAGCACACTAAAAAAAGATTCAGTCTAAATCCCTAACTTTAAACGCCCCAAAATAAGTTGCTTCTTGTGATGAATCCAGTAGCAATGGGTTTGATACCTGGATACTTATCATTTCACCAGATTTTAATTTAAAAAACCCTCCTACATTTACAGAATAAAAATGAAATTCTGAATTCCCTGACCAGTATTTGGTGCTTCCTCCCTTCATCAACACATCAGAGCGCCTTATTTTAAGGTTTGTCTTAGTCATATAAACCATCAGCTGAAGCCCTCTCTTAGTCAGGTTTCCTGAAGTTTCATGATGTCTAAAACAAATGTTGGCATATAGGTAGTAAAAACCATCTTGATTAACAATTAGTTTTCCATCATTGAATGTCATATTTGATAAGTTTGCCTGGCCTTTGTCATGATGCCAGGACGTGAGGTTCACTTTGCGAGTTCCTGAAGAGGGGAGAAAAAAAAAACAACACAATTATTTAAAAACAATTAACAAACCCCAACATTTAGAAAGCAATCCTTGGGTTTTAGAATCAACAGCAACTACAGTTATATAAGCTAAAGTGAATATTAGACAATTAAGATAAAAATTCTTAAGAAATTTCCTTTTTTCATCATGTACTGCCATATTTGGCTTACTATTTATAACTGTCTGTGCTCCCACCAGAACATCTGCTGGACCATGGTACAAAACACTTGCCTGGCCAATAGTTTGATTATGCTAAGCGATCATGTAACAAGCTCTGTATAGAAATTGCATTCCACCTAACACTTTATTCAAGTAACAAATACTTGAGAGGAGAAAAGAAAAATGACTAATGAAAAACAGTAAGTCTTGTCATCAGTCTTTAACCTGCAAGTGTTTGCAAGGAATAACTAAACAAAATCTGAAAACAAGTTAAACTGATAATACCCCAGAGAGAAAGCTTATGAAACCTTCCCATATTTTATGTTCTTGTTACTGCAGTGATACAAAGGTAAACATATTTTCATTTGAGAACACAAAAAAAAAAAGAGAGGAAAAAATCAGTACAATTGTGCATCTTTAGTACTACACAGTAAGTTGCCCAGACTTTAGGTAGCACTTCAAGTATTTATGACATAACAAACCTCTTTATGCAAAACCAATGTTTAGACTTAAGCCAATGCTTGTTTAGTCATATCCTAGATCAATAGGATAGCAGCCCACAGCACAATCCTAATTCTTTGATAATTGTACAAATACCTATAGCTGGACAGTTACAGCTATTCAAGAGGTAAACTCAGATTCCTTGTCTAATATCTAGTGGAAGGTCTTAGAAAAAGAGCTTTAGGAAGACAGATGTGACTCTGGATGCATTGCTCTTTTTTTTCTTTCCTTTTTTTTTTTTTATTTTAAAGTATCTTAAGTTTCAAACTAGAAACTATGAGCTGATATTCCATGCTGGGAGAAGAACAGTCTCTTCAAGTTGTCTTAAGCTGGAGATCCACAAATTAGGAAAGAAAATTATGATAATATTCTCTCTGTCTCTCCATAGAGCATCAGGCATATGGGAATCAAAATACATGTATAACAGTTTCCTGGTTTCAGCTGGGATAGAGTTAATTTTCTTTCTAGTACCTGGTATCGTGTTATGTTTTGGATTTAGTATGAGAAGAATGTTGATAACACTGATGTTTTCAGTTGTTGCTGAGTAGTGTTTAGACTAAGTCAAGGATTTTTCAGCTTCTCATGCCCAGCCAGCAAGAAGGCTGGAGGGGCACAAGAAATTGGGAGGGGACACAGCCAGGACAGCTGACCCAAACTGGCCAAAGGGATATTCCATACCATGTGACATTATGCCCAGTATATAAGCTGGAGGGAGTTGGCCTGGGGGGATCACTGCTCAGGAACTAACTGGGCATCGGTTCGTGAGTAGTGGTGAACAATTGCATAGTACATCACTTGTTTTGTATATTCCAATTCTGTTATTATTATTATTATTGTCATTTTATTATTGTTATTATCTTTATTAGTTTCTTCCTTTCTGTTCTATTGAACTGTTCTTATCTCAACCCACAAGTTTTACCTTTTTTTTCCCCCCGATTCTCTCCCCCCCTCCCACTGGGTGGGGGGGAGTAAGTGAGCAGCTGCGTGGTGCTTAGTTACCAGCTGGGTTAAACCATGACAAACACTTACCAAATCTGACTACCAAAAAGGACAGATTAATAGAATTAACATAAGTAAACAAGCATTATTGAATTCCTTCTAACAAGTACTAAGCCTTTTCAGCTCTGCCCACGTGATGGTGGCCTGGTAAACAGGAAGCTGTCCCTTATCTGTTAAGGTGGCTGAATGCTTTGTGAAGGGAAAAGGAGCTGAGAGACTGGAGATGTTTTGATTAGTTCATCAGCTCAGCACTGTCACTGAAAGCTAACTTCAGATACACAGGCACAAACGTCCCCCAGGAGCCCTGGCCCAAAAGGCACCTCCTGGGTACTATCATCAAGTAGCCACATTGCATCATCTCCTGGAGGTTTCAAGCTGGTCAAGTCTCAGATGTCATTTCATTTAGATCCTACTATTGAGGCTGTGCTAAGAGGTGGCCTGGCAGGAGGTCAGATAGGCACTGAGAGAGCACATTTGAGTCTTCCTTCCAGACCTGGTCACATTTGACACTTCAGCTTGGTTTTGGTGGCACAGTGTTAAGAAGCAGCCTGTAACACCAGCCCAGATAGCTTTGCTTCTATGGCATGTGTATTATGTAGAGGTTTATCACAGTATTTTCTGTTGAGAAGCATGCCCTGCAGCAGACATCCCACAGTCCCTTCCAGCTCCCCAGCATCACCACCATCCCATTATAGCACCCACCTCATCTGACAGCCTCTGCCTGCAAAAACAGAGGAACAGACAACAGTGGGAGGAGATGATCCAGGCAAGGTCCACAGGCACACCCACAGAGGAAACAGCACTGTCCTGAGAAAGCCACACAGGCCCTGACCCTTCCTGATATGCACAAGCCACTAACACTCTACCATTTGTTCAGTGTAATACACAGGGCATAACACAACGGATGAGAGTTGGCCAACTTGTCCTCCTAACCGCTAGCAATTTTCAACACACAAGACTAACTCCATTTACTCCCTCCCACAGCAGTGGGACCATACAGGCACCAGAGGACCTTACACCTTAGGCTCCCAGTGCATCTAAATGCCTGCTTGGAATATTCAGTATCTTATTCTCCCAACATCAAACCAAAACAACCTATTCCCACTAAACTTTCCACAGCACATGGCAGGGCCCAGTGCCCTCTCCTCCAAGTATGTATCAAGGCATGCCCCAGAACCACCAGTGCTCACAAGCATGCTGGGGAAAAGCCCCAGGTACATTTGATTAGTTAAAAAGATGCCTCTTGGATTTGTTTGTGAAGAAAGAAGTGAGGGGAAGTAGCGACAGGGGAATTTGAGAGCTATGAGTCTTCCCTAACTGCCAAGGGCAGCAACTTCTGCATGTGAGAGGAATACTTTAATAGTAGTCCAGAACAAAAAGCTTCTGGCACTCCTCCACAAAGACTTGAGCATAGCACAGGCTGTCAAAGGCAGATCATAAATAGTTGCTCCCCTATGGCTCCAGTGCAGCCAGGTAGAAATTATACAAGCAAAATCATACAGAGAAGCCATCTTCCATGCAGTGCCTCAAAAAACCCTCTGAAAACCATCAATTAATTGGAAGCCACACTAAGATGAAGTCTCTTAGCCTGGAATTATTCACCTGCAAGAGATGCTGAGGTAGGGGTACCAGAATACACCACTGAAGCACTGGGGATAGCTGAGGAAGTTGTAGAACTTCTTGTGCACAGTGTTAAGTCTGCCAGAAATACTGCCCCAAGAAGGCTGGGCTACATTCAAGATGAGGACGATAGGCAAGAAGTCACTGCTTGGATCGCAGGAGAGGCACATCAGAGATACAGGACAGGAATGTCAATGTATTGCGGAACAGAAAGGCATGCTGGCATGCTGTGACTGACTGGTGGCACACTGGGTAGTTGCTAGACAGATTTTATTTACTTGGCAGGTAAACTTTTTAGTTGCCAGTCTTAATCAAGTAGCAATATTGAAGAAACCCTTAACAGAAATGCATGATTCTCTATTGAAGGAGGGAGAAGAGAGAAAATAGGTGCCACAGTCACATGTAATTGAGATGCTGAGGGGGGCTCTGGGTGAAGTTTGTTCACACTGTTTTGGTGTTGAGGGGAATACGCATCATTCATCCATGGTCGGGTGAAGGGACAAGCCAAGAGATGATGGAAGATGACCCTATCTGTTTTGAGCAGAGGATTTGCCTAGATAACTTCTGGAAGTTCCTTCGAACCTAGATTATAATGCTATGATTGTATTAACTGAGGCAGATGGGCTTTTTTGCCACAATTCAGAGCTTCAAAAGAGGCATGCCACAGCCAGCAGCGCAGCACAAAGATGCACTGGTAGGAGTTATGCCATACAACTTTTAATGGCAGGGGCGAGCAGGCTCTCAGCACTTCTGGTGGTAATACAGCCAAATTTGGAGACACCAAAACAATCAGTACCACAAAACACAGGGAGAGGAAAAAAAATTAAGCATAGAAGTGCCAAATCAGCTGTCCATAAATCAGCAGATCTGAAACATAACCCAAGCCATGGGACAGTCAGAAATGCTGCAATACAGTATCTTCTGTGATAAAATTTGCTATGGAGCCATGAAAAAAAATAGCACAAGGCAAGTCATGTTGACAGAGAAGGAAGAGGTCAGAGAGATAATGAGTAAAATAACCTTCTGGACATGGTAAAAAGCACTATAAAAAAAGTCAAGATAACACACAATCTTCCTAGTAACTGAAGACAAATCAAAACAATGTCTTGGATATTTGTGAGCGTGAACCAAGACTAATACAAATGAGTTTCAATAAAATTAATTAGTAAGAAGGAAGATGATGGGAGGGGAACAGAGGATAAAGTAGCCCTGTATTGATATTTCGTTTGCATCCTAGTAGCTTTCAGGTATAAAAAAAGCCTGAGGGAAGGACCAGAGCACTGTTTGCTCAGAAGAGCTGTTTTGCAGGCAAAGGGCAGCTAAGCTGAACCTGTAGCTGTAAATAGTTCAGACTACTACAGCGTTTTCTTAGACAGCTAAAGGCATCAATTCACATCCCAAATGATATATTTAGCATTTATATTTATTTCTGTTTGTGATTTTCTCCTTTAAACTGTAACTAATTTCTGTAATCAATTTATAAACCAAAATTCACTGTTTTCATTTAAAACCTAGGTAGCATTTATAGTGAGCTCTGGTTAAAACCAGCCAGCAAGCATCCAGCTTTAACCTAAGGCAGCAAACCTAAAAAATACACACAGCAAGCCAAACCACTATGGCTTCTGCAGCCAAATGATGGGTGGGGACACCAACATCTGGGAAGGGTTATTTCCCCCTCCCTCACACTCCCCCCAGCTGCAAAAGTCCATTTGGAGCTTGATATTATTGTGAACCAGGTAAAAGGAAAATGTTTCCTCGCAGACACTGCTCAGTGCCCCTTCATGAAAGGTATTCAGTAGCAAACTACTTAAAATAAAATCCTGTTTAACAGTGATGAAGACTGATTCTTTTTTTTCCTGACCTTGTTATTCTGGGTCAGAGTAATGACAGTAGAGAACCTTAAAATACTAGGAACAGATCTGTCCAGACTCACAGATGGCATAAAACAATTTAGAAGGATTTCAGATATGTAGGATCTGAAATCAGGGGAAGAAAATAGAAATTGCCATTTGCAGTCAGAGGAAACAGGATTGGAAAGAAAAACTCCTGATGACCCTCAGGCAAATTCTTCATCCTTCATGCCTGTCATTAACCTCTGTGCCACCCAGCTAAGTGGTTAATGCCTCATACCAGTGAGCATGATACTAAAGCGCCTCACAACCAGGAGGTTCAGGGTTCCAGCTATCCATATGGATGCAGCCCCTCACTGCTGCAATCCCACAAGGACCGCAGAGGCTGTGCTCATGATTAACATCCTGGCAATGCTCTTCCAAAAGAGGCGAAAGCCATATGTGCCAAATCAGGAGGGACTATGTCCAACTCATCACATTGGTAAGGGGTTGATCTGCTCCAAGGAGAAACAAAGCAGCTTGTTGTCACAGGCATTGTATTTCTGAGAGCTCCTGCAGCCTGTGCTATTAAAAAAAAAAAAAGCGAAGGCAGCAAGCAAGAGCAATGCCTTCCTTGCCATTACTCAGAGATGTGTTACATCACTCCATAGAAGGTTAATGCAGTGATGCACAACAGTAAAAATTATTCAGCTGCTAGCCCTGATAAAAATACAGTTTACAGCAACATCCAGGTAGACAGCAAATAAATTCCCCACAGGAAAAGGTAGATTTCACAAAGTGTGACACTGACACACTCTACTTATGCTAAGACAAGTTTACTGATACTGCATCTTCTGCTATTGATCTATGTCAAAAGCCAAAATCTGACTGAAATAGAAGCTTGTCAGGAGGCATCTGAGCTAATGAGAAAGCTTGTAGAAGTTCTGACTGCCATCTGACAAGCTGCTTAAGCTCTCTGCTTATAAAGCTCTGGATCTTGGCAATGCCAATGCACTTGAAGGCAGAAAGAATCCTATCCTTTCAGTCAAGAAACTAACACCTTGTGTACAGAAGTACTTTGTCTTTAAATAGAGCAAGAGCAAGGTATTACTATGCAGGCTGCTGAAATCTCAGATTTCAAGCCTCAACACAGCATTCCCCTTCGGTTTGGTTATATAAAACAGAAAAGCAATGCACATGGCTTAACAAGGAGTTCAGTACTGCAGAATGTATACATCTTCAGAGGAAGGTAACAGTAGTGATCAATGCCCCCTTCCATCTTTAGATTCTCTAATAGCTTCAGAATAAACTGTAGTTTACCTCTACCACACCAATGATGATTGTTGCGTTGAAAATACAGAGAAAAATCTCAACTGACAATGCCCCAGGGCAAAAAAGGAAACAGTACTAAGATATCTTAAAATTGTAGGAATTAATCTTTTCCTCTGGAGAGTGTTCCAAGGCAGCCTCATGTCTCGTTCCATCATACTGTACTAGCAAGGATATTCCCAAAGCCATCCAGAGATACCTGTGGGTAGAGAATAAGAGCTCTGGCAGGATAAAAAAGTGCCATCCTTTTACCACAGGGGCAGATAAAAGCCACAGGAACACTTTATTCCCCTACTCACTAGCTCAGAAACATACTGCATCCAAGTCAACACACTGACCAGAAACCCTGTTGCTCAGACTACAACACTATGATCTTTGATCTTCCTGCTACTGGACTAGATGGATGCAGACAGACCCTTGTGAAGCTTTGGCATGTCTGAACATCAGGAAGGCGCTGGGAGTCTTGATATGAAAAAGTCTATACCAACCCTGCAACATAATAATGAATGGAATATGACAAAACCTTTTCAACATGCTGTTAGCAGAAGGAAACACTTGCTATCAATTCAGCTCTATGCTATGAGAGTGCAATACACCCACAGAAGGCAGGGAATTAGCAGGCAAGTTATAGTAATGACATTGGAACTGCAGTTCTAGGTTTTCAACACCTCAAAATGAAAGATGTGCTTCCTTTACGACAAGTTCTTACACTGACGGGCACCTGACATGCATGTGTGTTGTGTATTCATATAAGATTCTCAGCTTCCAGATCCACCCTGAAGACAAATGCTGTGTCACCCAGTACAGACCCAATTACACTTCAGCACACAAAAGGAGTGTTGCCGTGAAGGGTTGAATAGGTGGACATAAGACATTCTTGAATTTTACAACAGAAGATAACACATTTCTTCATCTGACAACAGGACACAAAAAAAAAAATAATCTTAGACTCAATGGAAGTTAAACATCTTCCAACCTGCAATATCTGAATTCTGGCCAATCTTTGTACTGGTATATCATTGTATGTATGTGTGTATGTATGCAAACATCTGTGTGTATATATACATAGAGCTGATGTCCAGTGTGAGTGAAGAACTCCAGATGGGCCCTACTAGCCAAAGAAAATAAGAAACTTCAGAGGAGAGCATTTAATGCATATCTTCATTCCTCACCTGAAGACAGCAAAAAGAGGCGGGCCAAGCCCTAAGAGCTTGACCATGAAAACTGGTCATTTGAAATGGAGGCCACTTAGCAGGTAACTGACTGATGTAAGATACCCGAGGCAAAGGGGAGCTATCCTCCTGTTAACATTACTCCTGCTGCCTCCAAAATCCTTCAACGCATCCAAATTATTCTCACTATCAAAAGTCATTTCTGATATCCCTGCCTGTTGCTAGTATTGCTGACCTATTTTCATATACTTCACTGTTTAATACATTTATAGTAGCATTGGAAGTATTCACTTAAAACTGAACTTACCAGATGGAATATTCTTATCATCAATAATAAGATGGGCAAACGGCTGCTTCTCAGGTTTGTTCCTCTTGTACAGATCCATTCCTAATGCCTCCATTGCAGCTAGAGACAAAAGAATCACATTACCTCAGAAAGACAAGTTTAGCAGAACTAAAATATTTCTTATTCATAAACCAGCACCTACCTTTTTCTGGTCTCGGTGGCACTCTTCCCATGACACGCTGCACCTCCTAAAATAAGAAAGAGCCATTGATTTGATGTTGTCTTGGGTTTGTAATATTAGCGTATTGCAGGCAGTTTGCCCAATTACAACACTCTGTGTGTATATATATATATATATATGGGGGGGTTATACAACCTACAATATATTCAGATGCCTGGGATACATACTGTCATATTTACATGATGTATAACATGAACACACAGTTTAGCTGCCACAACCAAATTACTTCCTCTGTCCAACACTTCTGATAAAGGTGAATAGGAATGATGGTGTGTATGATCACTGCACTATTTATTGAAGTAGTGGTGACAGGACATTTACAACCTTTCCTATTTATTGTACTTGGAATATTTCTCTAAGTATAATGAAACAATGACTGCTAAGAATGCATCACTGGAGTTTATGAACAGATTTAATTACTTGGGGTCAAAAGGTAACAGAAGAGGCAGTTCTACATAGGGACTAGTGTGTAATCACACTAACAACTAAGGAAAGCTAAGCTCTAAATTTCATGTGTGATGAGCAAAATGATGAGGTAAATAAAAACCTCCACCCCTCACACTTGACCACTAATAGGGAAGGTTGCAAGACTACAAGGCTTTATAATCAAAGCTCACTTCTAACAAGGTATGAAGGAACTGAAGGATTAAGCATCTTCCACATCTGTACTGGGCCAAATGGACTGGGTGCCAGAGTTTGAAGTATGCATTTTTCAAAACTGCAGATGAATTTTAACATGAATGAAACCCATGTTACTCAAAACCAAGAACAGCACAAGTAACAGACATCAGGCACCACAAAAAGACTTGCTTTTAATAATCCACATCTGTTTTCCTCTTGAGAAAACATACAAATAGCAGTTTTCAAAAATCTAAGCAGCCTGTTCTTGTTACAAGCCTGGACTGAGCCTTGGTAATATTAAATTCAGTCCTCAGTTCTGTCCTCTGTTACCCCATGACTCTCTTCATCTCTGTTTTCTAAAAAACAGGGGTAATATTTTACTTGCTATTCAGAATACCTCATACCATGGAGCCATCAAGATGTTTAGTAAAAGGAAACACTTTGCTGAAGATAGTGAATCATATCTTATCTTTGAAACCTGACAGTGGTCCTTTGTTTTGTCTTTATGTCACACATATTGCTGTTTGTCTGATTCAATACCACGTATATGGAATATGCCTCAGATTTGGCCACATCAGCAATGTTCCACTGTGCTCTCAATCATTGCAGTGTTTTAGAATTTGAAACTCTGCTTTGAAAACACCTGAAGACCTGCTTTTATGTAATTTTGCAGCCACAGTGAAACCTGTAATGCCTTAGCCCATGCATTTACTACTCTCACTTTCCCCTTTCAGTAGGTGTTTAAATGTTAAACCAAAATGAAAAGCCACAGCAGTATGGAAGTTGTAGTATGACTATCAAAGCATAATACTTCAGCAGAGGTATGCTGATTTTGTAGATAAGAATCATTAAGATGCTTTCTGCTGTAGAGATGAGAAGAAAAGCAGAAGAATTGCAACTTCAAAAGAAGCAAAACTCATGTCCACCTCCCCCATTCACATTCACTTCCCCTCTCTGATCTTCCTACTTCAATGTCAGTTCTAGGAGCACGAAAATGAAGCTCAATTCTAGGAGCTACACACCAGCATCAGCCTCTAGCCACGCTTGAGCTCTTTAACTTCATCAGAAGTAGGAAGACAACAAAAAATTGCAAGCACTAGATACTGTGAAAAGTGGCAAAGGCCTCTGAAGAGAACAGGACTTAAGGCAGAAGAGACTGGGAGATGGACCACACTCTCAGAGATTACTGCACCACACCTACTCCCAACCCTTTCCCTAGAAACAGGAGACTCCTTTGTTTTCTTGCTTTCTTAATAGAAACTTCTCAGATGTGGAATCTGCTTTCATATCCTTTCTTTCTGGGGGATGTGAAAATGTCCTTGCCTGGAGAGCCTACTGGGCAGATCCAAAAAGAGCTATGTACATTTTAATCTCCTATTATCTAAACTGGTACTAAAAAAAAAAAATCCCATGGTTGGTAACTGCACAGCCCTTGAAGTCTCTGAATTGGCCAATTGTTATCCTCCTCTTAACCTACATTTTTCTTAGGAGTATAGAGTTCTGCTTCTGCACATTTCCAAAGATGCTCTAGGTTGAGCAGCTGGGGACCTCACCTTCTGAGATCTAGCAGCATGACTCAGCTCATCTTCCATGCAGAAAGGCTGTGGTCCTCATGAAATGCAGTCTGAGCTGGTTTCTTTCTAACTGTTGGTGGTGCTGTTCATCTGCAACATCACCACTTGGTAAGCAGAACAGCTACCCAGGAAGACTTGGGTCCACAACTCTCCTTGTCCTGATGGTCTTGAGCCTACTTTCCTGTTTTCTAGGAGCATCTCTCTCTGATGGGAACACCCTCCTGTACTCATCTTGAAGCTATGCTACTATGCAATTAGGAATGAAAGTGTCATTACAACGAAAGGGAGATTATAAGTGTGAGCCCAACACTAACACACTGAAAAGAGCTGGAGACTGGCTCATGTCCATTGGTTCTTTTGTGTGCTTGTCATTGGATTAGAAATGGCTAGCCTGTGGCCAGAAAACAGAAATCCTCCATCAGCTGAGTTCTCCAAACACTGGACTAGGGTCAAGTTCTTTATTTGATTCTGACCAGCCCCACAAAGTTCTGATATTCCTTCCTGTTCGGTTGCCCAGGCTTCCAAAAGGAAGCTGAAATATATGAACCTGTCCCTAGATAGAGAGCGAGCTGTGGGTTTCCTCCTGAAGAATAAGTAGTCCAACACTTCTTTTCATTTTTTTACTTCATGCTCCTACAGTTCCAAGGTGCTGATACACAACCTACCATAGAAAAAAAAACATTTTAGTATGTACTTGCTTCTGTCCCTGAAGGAATCAAGGACCACATTTTTCAATGGATGTGTGAAGATATCCAGACATCTAAAGATGGCTCTTAGCGGGATTATAAAAATCCCCTGGTATCCTTACTGCAAGAAATTAAAAGCTAGGATTTTCCAAATCTTGAAAGTATCAACTGCATTCTTTAGCACCTAAATATCTTTAAGCATCTCATACCTGATCACAGTGTACACTACCATTAAGAATGTGGAAACAGCTCAACAGAACCTGTCACTAAGACACTGCTATAATGGCATGAGAACTGCTGACAAAATATTACTAGTGACTTCTCTTATGATTGCCACCCACAGAACCATGTGCACTACCAAGCTGTTAACTTAATTTTAGAAAAACTGTACACAAACATCACACCACTCTGTTAGTCTTATGATAAGCCACACTTGTACACCTTTGCATCATTTGCTCACTGCCCACCAAGTCAACTCTTCTGGCCTGCTTCCCACATTCCAACCTCCTTCACACAGTCACTGTTTAAACAACAGACAAGCAGCCAGTCACAAAAATGAAAAATGTGTCTTCCTTCATCCAAAAAATTTAAGAGGCCATTGGGAAGTTGCAAAACTTTCACATTTTAAAAGCTCAAAATCATGCTTTAAGTGCATGGATAAGATTAAGATTGGATTAAGAACTGCTCTTTCCTCATCCACAGCAGGCTGAAGGTTTTAACCCTTAGCATCTCAGTATCTTCAAAACAAAAACAACTCTTGGTCTTCAAGTTATGTCCAATGTTGAGGATGCAGACATAAGGCTACATTTGAACACGTGACATTTGTGAACAGTTTCTCCTCTCCTTTGGCTTTTACAATATCTCAGTACCTACTCTGAGCAGCTATAAGTAGCCTTTTGAGACCAATCAGAAGAGAACCCCTCTGGACAATCATGTATTGCTTCAGCTGTGATCTTAAAGCTCCTTTATGTCGTTGTTTCTTCTACTACCTGAGTGCTTTAAGTCCAGCTAATAACAGGAAGAAGTATCTGATTATATTGCCGGAAATTCAGCAATCTGAAGAATGCTAATCAGGAAGGAAGTGAAATGGAAAGTACATGAACCGATATTCATCAGAAGATAGTTTAGAGATCAGCACTACAACCTCTATCCAAATGAGTAGTCCATTGCCTGCAGAAAAAAAAAGGCATGTAAGGTTGTAGGATGGAAACTGTGAAATTTTAACAACTTACGGCAATCACTCATGAAACCTTCACTTTGTCCATAAGTACATGCACTTTAAACATCTGCTAAGTATATAGATGTCTTTATAAGTGCTGCCCTGGAGGTCTAGCAAAGTACTCTGTTGCCATGTGGGAGACTAGTTTACGCCTGAACTCCCCAAGCTGTTAGAAACTGGGAGCATTGCCAAGAGAAGTTACTTATGAATTGACCCAAGATATGTTTGTAGTCCTTTCTACTTCAAGCTCATAACAGACTTCGTAAGAACTGTGGTTAGTGCATCTGGACTGTCAAAAGGTTTTTAGGGTTACACGCAAAAAAAAAAAATAAAGCAAACAGGCTAGGAAAGTATATTATTTGTCTGCTTCAAAGTTTATACGCAATATTGAAAAAGTGCTTTTTACTAAGCTGCTCCCTAAGTAGTATTTTTAACCTGGAATATGTTAAGGAATTCACCATTAGATTTTGATTAAAAGAACATCTTTAATTGTTTTTTTGCAGGAGACAAATGTTTCTAGACCCAACCTTGCAGCCCTACTACACTGGTTTTCATAAGAGCGCTTTCATTTTCAACATCAATCCCTGCTTTAGATTTAAGCACTAGGTCTACAGGTGTGCAAAGGAAACAGATGAGAGCCAGCGCAGTAAGCTAAAAGCTGTAACCAGACCATAAACCTGAGCAAAAGCACGTTGTCTATTTTCATTTCCTGAACAGCTTAAATTGCAAAAGACAAAATATTGAAAAAAATCACAAAACAAACGGTATTTTAAAGTGTTCCATTTCAGTCACCTAACATGCTGCCAATTCAGATAAGGATACTGGTTCTTAAAACACACACAGGTTAGATTCTCCTTCAGGAAAGTGAAGAAAGCACAGACAATAGGAAACCTCTTTCATGTCACATTAGCTGCATTCCCACACATAAAGGACTAGCACAACTGGAAGTAAGATTCAGCTGCACATCTGCCCTTCATTGTAGGAGAGCCAATGAAAGGCAGAGCTTACAGAACATGATAAAGTACAATTTTGCCTTAACACTCTTTCTTTCACTTCTCTGATACACCAAAAAGATGCAAGTGTAGCCCCAGGCAAGCATTTTCCTATCTTTATTTTTCTCTGTGTCATCAATATATGACAACAAAGCATCCAGAACAGTGACACAGCTACTTAATACATTCTGTTGCATTCAAAGAAAATTCAGTCTGATTACTTTGGCAAGGGAAATTTTATTGTTCTCAAACTAATGGTCATCAGCCAAAAAAGTTATCCCTACTCACTACTTATCTTCGCCACGGACATTGCAGCATTTAACCTCCATCCAGAATGGCAGGATATGCAGCCTCAACTAAAGCCAATGCCTTTGTTGAGTAACCAGCAGCGAATGACCAGAATACAGGGCTTCCCATTCACTTACTGTAACAAGCTCCTTACTCTGTCATGGGAGCTGCACGAACAAGCAGTCTAGTACCAGCACACAGAAGTAGGTGTAGTGTGAGAGTCGCTATAAAATGCTGCAAGAAAGAACTAATCCTACAGATTTAACCCTTTTTTTTCGCTTACATTTTTAAAGGAGGTGGCTAGCAAAAGGAACAAGACATGAACTCCTAGGTTTCTTTAAGTTTTGTTCACAAAAAGATCTGTCACTCAGGGTACTCTGTTAAAAGCAAACACTACATTAGCACAATTAAAGTACTATATAATTAACTCAAGTACAATTCACTCTCTAAAGTGTATGTGAGTTCAGCTCAAATCTAATGTAGTACCCTTTATGAAAAACTGACAGTCCTATGCAGACGTGAAGAAGTTGTAATGGACCTGGTAATCCAGGAAAACCAAATACCATAACAGACATTCAGCTGTTAAATAGTACAGAATTAGCACTAAACACTATCATGAACACACAAAGAGATCAAAGGCAGTAACTGCAGTAAGAGGTGATTGTGACATATATCCAGCTTGCCTAGGCTTCCGCATTAGGGCTGACTTCTTCAGCTGACTACTTTTGTTATTCGTGTTTGGAAACAAGCTGTCATTCTCAACTGCTGGGCAAAGACTGCCCAGTTATTGTGCTATGGCAAAGTAGTTCTTCTGCCAGTGTAGGAATGGTCTGCACAGAACAGAGAACTGGCAAAGTTCTTTCAAAAAAGAAAAAGGAGATACTATCCCTCATTTGGGGCTGCAGAAAGAGTAAGAAACAAGAGCAAATGAGAGCAAATGTTATCTCCTCTGTCTTTCAGGCAATATTTTGCTTATTGATGATCTTGACTTGGGAGAATCTTGTCAGAAACAGAGTCATGAAGACTGCTTTAAAAAAAAAATGTGGAACTGTCCTTTTTTATGAACATCCAAAGTGTTGGCAAACCTATACAAATATTAGGATAAATTACTACCATCCTGGCCCATCCAAATATCAGAATGGCCAATCAACTAACTGCAATCATAGTTTTCTCAAATCTTTTTTTCAAGATTTCCTCTCTTAAAAAAAATAAAAAATAAAATGTGTTTGAATACAGAATTGGTTAACCACTACCAGGTTCATGAGTAAACACAATATGCTCTTGGATGCAACTTCAGGTATTATTTGAACACCAGAAAATATAGAACTTACCTCCAAATACAGATGTTAGAAAAACTGTAAGTTCAGCAGGAGCACAAAATAAAGGAACACACAGTCTGTCTGCCACTTACCTTCTGCACAGCTCTTTGGAGAGCCTGCTTCATGCTTCTACAGGATTCTGGCATTAACTTCCCTTCTTGATTTTCAAAGGTTGTATCATGCAAATCGGTATTTTCTTGATGTCCAAAAAGTGTCCTGACGCAGTGTGCGTGTTCTTTTGAAATTCTAGTAGGATCCATCTGAAACAAAAATGTAAGCACAACCACAATGTTAAGTGTCTGTCCAAGACACATTAAAAGCATCTAAGTCAGGGAGAATTTTCAACCATCTGAAAGTTTGGCACCTAGCTAAGTTTATTATCTAAATTTTCATTGTAAACAATGAAGAGAGAAAAAGTTCCCTACATGGAAGTTTATTTCATCCAACAAGCGTGTGAGATAGGAGAATGAATTATCTTCTGGAGCTGCCTAGTTCATTAGCTTAGACTAGGTATGTGACTTTCAAAAGTTAAAGATAAATCCCACTCTTACAGTAAAATCAATAATCCTGAATTCCATTTTTCGACCATTCAGTACAATATCACAGTTATTTTAGCAGGCAACATACACAGCCATCCTATCTCTAAAAACTATAGTTTGCAAGACGACACACAAATGCCAAGTAGAGGAACCTGGGGAAAGTATGTACAACACCTAGTACATCATTTTCAAGAGGAGAAACAGAAGAATAGAAGCCAGTTGTCACTGAAACTATTTTGTGGGCAAGAGATATATCGCTGCGTGAAACAGTCACCAAGTAAGACTGCACAGATTCAGAAAGACTAAAAGATGATAAAACTGTACCATAAACACCTCTGCTTCATGGGAAAAAGACTGGTAAATTTAGAATATCTGCAAGATATTTTTAGCAATCAGTCTTTGTGATTGAATCAAGTATACTTTTAAACTGTAAGTTTAGAATACTCCTGAATTCTATCAGTTAGATAAATTGAAAGGATATTCCAAGGATTATGACTGTGCCTTGGCAGAGTTTAATTGCAGAAATATTATTTAAACCATTCCACCCTCTCTTCCTATACCCCATATACTTTACACTCAAGAAATATTAACCACTAGCTTTCAGAGATGGCCTAAGACTCTCAGCAATTGTTTTAAACTCGTATTTATACCACTTTTACTTCAGGCTTGAAGAAGGGTTTGTGCACTCAAAACCTTGTCTACGCTCTCTAACTGTATCAGCCGGTCTAATAAAGAACACTTACTTCTGTCTTTCTGCATAAGGTGAAAGGAACAATTTTATCTGAGAATTACAAAAGGTTTGTAAACATGATGAGGGAATGCCAAGACATTATGGATAGCGCCTGACCAGTGTCTAGTTTCCTTTAACATAGCACTGAACAAAACAGAACATCAAAAGGAAGTCTTGCAGAATACAAAACAGCCAGTGTGAATCAAACATGTTATATCATTTGCTCACACGAACGTGAATTCGACTCCCTAACCCCAAAGAAGAACAGAGTTAACTTAAAAGCATAAGGTTAGGATTACAGAGGTGAATTTTAAGTCTACACCAGCCAGGCAGCCATCCAACAGGCACACACTGCAGAGAAGCATTTCTTGCACAGATGGCAACACCAAACCCTGCCCCCTCCTTCACCATCCTTCTGCTGAAGTCTCCAGATGAGAGCTGTTTGCCCAATTCATTCAGACCAACGCCAGCCCCTAGTTTAGCTGTTTCAGTTATCCCTGCAGATTTGGAATGAAACAGGTCAGAAAAGGTTCACCTGAAGATCAGAAGATGCCAAAGCTTTGAGCAGAGGGGTAGACATGAGTTACAGAATGGCTTGGAGGCAGTACCATCTTCCTGGGATGGCCTGACACAGCTGAATCCGAAAGAAAATCCATGTATAGTCTTTACAGCTCTAAGAATTAAGCACTAAAAACTACACTAATGACTTCTGAAGTCAGCTAGTACAGTGCAATCCCATTAACTGTTTAAGCTGATCTAAACCAGCACCTCTGTGCTCTCACCTTCTTTATCACAAAATTTCATTCCTGGTTCTCAATCTCTTCCAAATCAATAACCTGGCAGGCATTTTTGCTGCTCTAATTTTCTGAAATATTAACACCCTGAAACCAGCTCACTCCAGGTATCAGACAAACATCAGAGCCAGTACAGGGTCAGGCATAGGAATGAAAGAGCAGGAAGGCAGCACTAGTTTTAATGACTGTAAAACTGCACCCTAAAAGCATCTCTCCCAGTATGCTCCACTAGTATCCAGAACTCAGAAAATCAACTGTAAACTGAAAGGAAAAAAAATGAAGCACAAAATTTTTACCAACAGCTGCTACAAGACAGTTAATACAGAATGACCTGGGTTGGAAGGTACCTCTGGAGGTCTCTAGTCCAGCCCCCTGCTTGAAGCAGGGCCAACTTGTAAGTTCCATCAGGTTGGTCAAGGCCTTGCCTAGACAAGCTTTGTGGAATCTCCATCGATGGAGACTTTCAACCTCTCTGGGCAAACTGTTCTACAATTTGACCACTTTTATTGTGTAAAAAGACTGGGTTTGATGACCAGCTACAGTTCTGCTAGCTGCAATTTATGACTGCCTCTTGTTTTTGCTGTGCACTTCTGAAGAGCCTGTCTCCATCTTTAGGTAGCTAAAAACAGTCATTAGCTTACCTCACCTTCGTCTGTTCTTCATTAGGTTCAAAGAACCCAGTTGTCCATTTCTGATACACTACGGTCCCTACCTATCACAGTGGTCTTCTGCTGGACTCTCTCCAGTTTGTTGATATGCCTCTGGTACTGAGGGACCCAAAATAAGACCCATTATTGCAGATGTAGCCTCTTATGCTGGGGTTGTTAGAGAACTGCAGGAATTAGGGTCTTCAACAGGATCTGGATATCTAAGTCTTCTCCCCTCCACACCCATCACAGGATAGAAGGTAGAAAACCAGAGCAAATAACTGCTAGATACTCATTTTTATCAGTAATTCTACTAGTAAGAGACTATTATCCCAGTTTTGGACTTATTAAACACATCTTTTGAAAAGTAGACAAGAAAACTAGGTTTTACAACACAAGGATGATGAAATTTGTAAAGGCCTGAGCGTCCAGCATGACAAATCATGCATAGCATAGACTTAGAGCTATCACCCATCAGCAATCAGTCAAATATGTCACACAACACTGTGCCAGAACAGCAAGAGCAGATTGTACAGAAGCACTTACTCAGATTATAGTTTATCTGCTGAAGGCTTAAGACAGAAAACCAGCATCTCTGCACTTACAGTTACAAGATTGAAAGCTTAATGGAAACACTGTAACTGATAGCTTCAGCAACTTAAAGCTGTGCAGCCGCTCCTGACAAACTGCAAGTCTCCAGAGGTTTAGCGTTTGATAAGCTGAAGCTCTGATCTTGGGAGTAGCTAGCCTACCTGATTGCCCCTACCTTTTTCAAAGAATACCTAGTCTTCACCACATTTAACCATGGAAATTAGCTTGCTTGTCTGAAAAGGCATTCTCGGAAATCCCGCTTCTTTTATCTTTACAAAGAACATGTACTGAACTGCCATGGCTGGAAATAGACATTACCCAAGCACTGAGACCAAAACTGCGGGCAAGAAGTTATGCACATCAAAACTTTCAAGGACATGTATTAAGAACTTCTGAAGAGCCAGATGAAATACCGGAACGGTCTACAGGATGCAGCTTGCTAAACTGCAAGGCACAGAGACCTTCAGCACGAAGTCTTAAAGATTTAATACCTGGAAGAAACATCAAGATGCAACCAAAAATATTGGAGAAAGCTTTACAATATGTTAAGTAAGCTAAATACCCTAGAGGAATTAACCTATTTAAAGAGAGGAGTGTCTAGCTTATTTTTCCTACATTACAACTGTGTATACATCCTTTGCGTCTGACCTCGGAATCAGATCAAATCTTTCGGTGCCCCTTGATTTTCAGCATCTCTCACCATTCTAGTTGCATCTCTGGACTCTCTTCACCTAACTCAGGGCAGCCAAAATGAACTCCAGCATTGTAGGCGAGACCAAATGAATTTACAGAATTAAGAACCAATTTTTCGATGTTAAAAGGATTCTGTTTGGTTTTAAAAGATACAATACATTCCAGACACCTTTAGCTATTAAATGTTGCCTCAATTACACAATGTTACAGTATCACATTCTGTACTTAGTTCTTACAATAAATGTTTAACATTTATACTTAGACTTATTTTCAAACTTAAACCAATTTCCAGATTATCAAGTATCACTTTGCACTCCATGATCTTTCTTAACCACCAAGAAGGGATTCTTCCAGGCTTCCAAAAAGTGCTAATGACCCCCAGCAAGCTGTTTTCTGTTAGCCACTGCTCTAGAACACTCACAAAACTTTAGATGAAGTCTGAAAGGCGATTGTTTAAAAACATACTGTAATCAAAGTCAGAGTACCACAGATGCATGAAATGACAATAAAAATCTGACTTCCCAGTCCCCATTTATCCAAGTGTGAATTCTTCAGTATGGTAGAATACTTAACATTTGTACAGACTTTTTTTTTTTTAATGGGAAAAATGGATAAACTTGGAGTTCTAGGTTAAACTATGGGAGTTAGACATCCAGCCCCCACATGTGGATTTGAGCACTTCCAGCTTGTTCCATTGCCCTCCAGTTCAGTCAGGCAGTGTTAGACCGGATTCCTACTACTCTTTCATGATCTAAGTACATTAAGGAAATGGGCCAGAAAGAAAAGTTTAAAAGGAAAGCTTTTGGAGACTATACTTCAGCATTTACCAGTGAAAGTTAAACAAAATACTTTGCTCTCTCACCTTGTGCTGCGCATGAGTCTCTACTACATGATGATCTCAAGCTGCTCTGAGTATCTAAGTAAATTTTCATGGCATTTTCATTGATCATGAGCAAATATTCTTCATGAAGTATAAGCAAAATAAACACTTAGGACCAATACATTTTGTTAGTGTTTACTTTCTTGGATTCAGCACATTGCACAAGATGGTCCAAAAAGAAAAGCCAGAACATCTTAATTTTTTACATTTCAGAACACTGTTACGAGAATATTGGTAAAATTCAATTCTTAGCTTTTTCTTTCTTTTTAAATATACCAGCTCATTGTCTCATTTGCATTGCGCTGCATTATTTCTTGGCCACAAACATGTGTTTACCCGTGAAAATCTAGTGTCAGTCTTAGTTATGTGTCTTGTGAAATTCCAAATGCTCAAGCCACAAAATAAACAAAACTAAGGAAAAACCAAAACCTCAACTATTGTCTCAGCTCATATTGTGTCATGATCCAGCCCAAATGATTTTATGCAAATACAGATAAAATGTGTATGGTAAAACTGAGTCAGAGTTTACTCAGCCTCTTAGGTAGAGCTTTAAAGAGCTTGTAAAATGCATAATTTCTCAATATGAGCCTATACAGTAATATCTTGCTAATTCACCTTTGGTTAATTCACCAACCAAACAACTCAAATCTTTTGATGCACAGCTTCTGCTATTAACTTCTCATTATTTTAACAAAATACATCACTATACTTAGGTTCTGTTATTACAGTACAAATTTAGATAGTTGAAACTTGTACTGAAAAGTACAAAGTGAGATAGCTTAATACAACTAAATTTGACAGCAATCTTTTCAAAAGAAAGAGGTCGGATCATGTCCCATATAAATAAAACCATCTGCAAGACAGTTAAATAAGACTTAATTTTTGCAGAACCTACTATATTTTTCCATCTATCTTATTTCACAATAAGAAACAGATGAACAAGTATGGATTACCATATCTTATTATTATGAATTATGTACTTACTTCAAAAGCATACTTATTATTCTATTTTTCAGTGATGGCACAGAAGACATTTCTCCATTAGAAACGTTTCAGGCAATGACTTCAGTCAAGTCTACATCTAGCTACATCATCTCTTTTAGATGTTTCAGAAGTTCAAGTTTACAAAGGACTCCATCCAACAGCATTATTCCAAATCTACAGGAACAAGAAACTGGCAAGAGAATTAAGCTGCCAAATGTAGAATTACTCCCAGACTATGCAATTTTTTAAATCAAGGAAGCAGAAGAAAAATAGCCATTATGGTAAGAAAGCTCTGTTTACCCTCTGTTAGGCATGTGTGAAGCACTGACATGAACCTATCAGGAAGAGTCCTTAGTAAGGGTGGGGGGGTAGGTAAAGAGAATGGAAAAGCAGGGTTTTCAAAAAGTACACTTCGATTAGTTGTTTTGATTGCAGTGGCTCTCTAGCCTACTAATCAATATATAGCTGTGCATTTCTACGAGCTATGTTTTGACAAAGATGTTGTTTCAAGTTCATGCAGATCTGGAGTGAAAAGCATTTCTCTGCCACAAGCTGAAGGAGGCATTAATTTACTTCACTGTCAAGCCAACAAGTAGCTTTAAGCTGCTTTACAACAAGTCCCAGAAATTAAATGTCACTCTTCTGAAGCATACAGGATATGATTAACTAAGTACCGTACTGCTGTTCCATTTTATTTTTGTAAAAATGGCAAACACAAAGCCATTGTCAGTAAGAAAATATGAATTGGCCTGCATAATAAACAATCAGCAGCATTACTGTATATCTGATAGTCACTCATTCGTTTAAGTGGGTTTACATTTGTGCAACATCTGTTTTTCGGAGTGCACTTTAATAAATCCAGTCTGCTACGTCAAGATCAAGCGCATCTACCTAGAAAGTAAACCAAAAGAAACAGGTTTCCACTCCCCGCTGACTTCAGATGAAAAGTACGCACAACAGAAGTACCACTTCCATGAAGGCAGCGAGACCCGTATTAACAGAACTAATTAGCATCCAACGAAAGAGCCAGGCAGAAAGCTAACACCTAGCCCTGAGAAGCAACCAGCTGGCAGCCCTCCACTTCCTCTGAGAGGGCTCAGCCGTGCAGCTAAGACACAGCAGCGAGTGAATCCAGCCAGCCAGCCGAGCCATTTCCAAGAAGCGGGCTCCTCTTCTCTCCGAAAGCCTAACCGCTCCTTCACCTCAGCTCCCCCGCAGCGGTACCTCCCCGTGCTCCTTTCTGCGCACACCGCTGCCTCTTCTGAAGCTTCCCAGGGCAGCCTTGCGGCCTGGTGGGCTTTCCTCTTCAGAAACGAGCGGCCGATGCCCGCTAACGCACAGACCCCGCTCCGCAGGGCCCCTGTGTGGTCTGAAGGACAAACGGTCCCAAGTGGTGGCGTGTGGTGGCTTTTTTGGGGTTTGTTTTTTTTGGTTTTTTTTTTTTTCCCTTAAAGACATTTCTCCCGCTGGTGAAACACTTACGGCAACCAAAGACCTCAGCCGTGTCACAGCCCTCTCCGGTGAACAACGGAAAGCTGATCGTTCAAAACCAAAGCCCCGCAAGACTTCAGGCGATGGATCATCGAGCTGCTTCCCTGAGTCGGGGTCGTGTCCGACCTCGCTGGGAAACCCTGCGCCCCAACACGCACCCGCAGGCCAGACCACACTAGCTAGAACACCTCAGGCTGACCAGCTCCAGCGACCAGGGGACAGGGCAAGGTACCGGGAGCCCTCCGTCCTGACCCCCCTCTCAAAGCTGAGCCCCCTTCAGAGCCCGATAAAGGTGTTCTCTGACTTTTTTTTTCTTTTTAAATCCATCGCCTCAACCCCACCGACGAGAGGACCTTTCCCCGCCTCGCCTTCCGAAAGGTGCGAGGCGGCCGCTGCCGCCCTCTCCCTCACAGCGCGGCTTGCCGGGAAGGCGGGAAGGTGCCGCCACCTCCCCCCTCACCCTCACCCCGCCGCCCTCTGCGGGCGCCTCTTACCTGAGCTCGGAAGTAGAGAAAGAGGGCGACGCTGCAGACCACCTGCCCCAGCCCCAGGAGAACCAGGGCGGCGAGGAGGGAGCGGGAGGCGGGCGGCGGGGGGGGCGACAGCGGCGGGG